CGCCTATCCATTGCAGTGTCACTCAGAGCTTTAAATTGCAAAGATCTTAGCACTGCCACTGCACCCGTCACCCTGAGACATAAGTTGAAAATACCCAATTTGCCTGTACTTTCACCAGCACCCTTACCCTTCATAACCGGTACGCAGTAATGGTCCCATTACTGCTTGGAGGCAGAAATAGGTAAGGTGGAAGTACTTCCCTGGACAAAGTCTTTCACAAGGAAGAACTTCTACTGCTACTAAAATGCCTTACGAATGAGCAGTACCTATGAAATAAAGATTATTTTGAGTCTAAGTTATGTTATTAAAAAAATATGCCTAGCTACTTTGCTACGCAATAAATTTCTATAAATGTATTCGGTGGTTGCTTATATTTTTTTAGTTATCTGAGGCTTAGCAACACAAATATTATAATATAAAAAAATATGGCGACACGATCCCTTCTTCCAACGTTGAATTGTCTCATGTAATAATAACTATAACAATAACGAAACCCTGTATTGCGGGTGCCATGGAAACACATAGACAACCACAAATTACACACAAACTCACGAGAGAAATAAATCTAGGCCATGCAAACATTTCTCCCGATGCAACAAGTGCAAAAACAGAAATAAGGCCGCTTGTTGCATATTAGACTATTTTGATACTTGACCAGCTGTTCTGCGTCGCCTAAGAATAGAAAAAGAGAAGAAAGAAAGAATATTGCATTCATTCATTCATTTATTTCAATCAATCAGTAATTAGAATAGATATTTTATATAATAATTGTATCCCGCTGAACAAGACTTTATTGTCTTTAGGATTAGTTGTTACAATACACAATGCTCAACGAAGCGTTTTCAATATTTAGTATTCCACTTGAAATGACACATTTTAATGCAATAATGAGTGTAGTAGTGCAGAATTTATAACATATTTCGAGTCCTTAGGTTTTCGCGATTGTTACACATAGGAAATGAAACTATTTTTCCGGATATAAATCGCGTATATTTGTTTTTTCAAACAAACCGACGTTTCGGGCCCTTTACAGGTCCCATGGTCACGGTTGACTTGGGACCTGTAAAGGGCACGAAACGTCGGTTTGTTTGAAAAAACAAATATACGCGATTTAAATCCGGAAAAATAGTTTCATTTCCTAGATTTTATAGATTTCTCACAGATGGCGGTACGGCAAAAATGTCGTCAAAAAACCAAAACAAAGATCTGCAACAAGCACATGGAAAAATTCGTGAGGTCCGTTGGTTCGTTCCATGGCTTAGGCGGCATAGCGTCTGGCAAGGTTTGCTAAGAGACATCGTTGGTTCGAAACCTCGATCGAAGTAAATTTTTTCTAAGTGTTCGATCTTTGTTTAATAATTATATCAAACTAGTGGAGTAATTTCACAAAAAAATAATCAAATGTCGTGGTGGTGAAACAAGTGAAACATCCTGACATTCAATAAAACTTAAATAAAATTAATAGGTTTTACATGCACAACAAAACAAAAATTATATAGCACAAAAACAATACCATAACAAAAACATTATTCCGAGTTCTTAGGTTTTCGCGATTCCCGGTTCCCATGGTCACGGTTGACTGGGACCTGTAAAGGGCCCGAAACGTCGGTTTGTTTGAAAAAACAAATATACGCGATTTAAATCCGGAAATATTAGTTTCATTTCCTAAAAACATTATTATTTTAATAAAATTATAAAGTATATAGTTAGATAAATACATATTTCATAATATAATAACTAAGAAATGGATGGAGTAGTGAATAAATAATAAACTCTAAAACTAACGAAATATAGCTATAACGAAGTAAAATAGTAAATACTTTCGGGAACAGTAATGAGAAGTGCGTTCCAAAGTCTGACAGCATTAATGGTGAAACAGTGAGAATAGAAATCGGAATTGAAGGATGAAAAGGGATAACTGCGACTTAACGAGTGAGGCTTATCCTGGAACCTAAGGAAGCTGAAACACTCTTTCAGGTATCCGAGAGACGCAGTGTTATGTAAAATATGTAACACTGCGTCTAGTAGACAATGGAGACTACATGCAAATTTCTGCTGAGTGTAATGGGAAGCCACCTGAGCTGACTGTGGTAGTGTGAGATTTAGTCATGAAAGATGAACTTTATACGTAATAATATATATAAATATTATAAATCTACTAATTTGTAGCTAATCGGTGCAGTGAACTGCAAGCTGTACACTTTGGACTGAAAAAGTTACTTTTTTTTTTATAATACCAAGTGAAGTATACTACAACTATCCATAACAGTTGTAGTGCCACTCAGAGCTTTAAGTCGCAAAGATCTGAGGGGTACTGCCACTGCGCCCATCACCCTGAGTTATAAGTTGACAAATCCCATGTGCTTGTAATTTCACCAGTTTCAAAGTTTTCACCAGTTTTGGTTCCATACACTAAATATTAATAAAAGTTCAAAAATCTTCGGAAACTAACCTGTAAAACATCTAGCATAGCCATAGGCAAGACCTCGTCAACGGCTCCCATATCCTTGGAGAATCTATTCAAGATGCGTCCAGAAGGGTTGACGTGGAAGAAGCGCATTGGCGCGCGCGTGATTGCCGCGAACATGGTGTTGTGCAGACGCGTTGATGCGCGCATCGCCATTGAGAAGAACATGAAGGAGCGGGACAAAGATACTGCTACTAGCCCTATTACCATGCCTGTAAATTATTCAAAGTACTTTGTTAGATGTCACATTTATATAAAAAAGTGCAACATAATCACACCATTTACGTGCAAGCTAACGGAAAGACAATTGAGCGAAAGTAAGGCGTCCATTGACTGGACGGTACGGTAGGGAGTTTATAGGAGACGAATAGCAATATATCCCAATGTTAAGTCATTATAGTTGTAATTTCCATTATAGTCGTCAAAGCTACAAAATCAAAGCTGCGGTAAGCTTAGGGATACCGAGTCGACAGTCTTCGGGATGCTTCGGCAGGATCAAAAGTTTTTTCACTCTAACGCTTCTCCTTCTAGGCATATAGTTTTGTTCTTCAGCAAGACCAGCGTTTTTAAATATACAACTGGTAATAAACCAGCTACTATATAGTCGCGACGGTTAGCCGCGGCATAATTGCCGTCAGTATGCACTTGCATTTAGGAACGCCGAAAGATCCCTTGCCATGCTGTCCCGCCAATGGGCGCCGGGCCTAAGGCGAAATTCAATTCTGTAGAATATTACGTTTTCCTGATCAGTGTTACCGTTTTAACATCTATTTGTACAATTATCTGTCAAATTTTTGACAGTTTCAGACAACTAGTTTGACTTATTATGTACCGGTAGAATAGTTACGTTACCAGATAGTAGCATTAAGCAGTTAGCCAGCTAGTTTCAAATTATGGAACTCCCTGCATTAGTTACCCATTAAAAATAGAAGACAAAAAAAATAATTTTGGAATTTCAGGGGAAGGTTTATTCACTCTTTGCCCGCAAATTCGCACCGGTGGGCAGTTCGGCGGGACGTTCAAGGTTCGCATTGAGTGTGGTCTGTCACGTACAGCGTGCACGCAACTACAGGCTTACCGTTTAACTGATTCGGTTGCTGAGGTAGCTGCGCGGTGCGGGAGGAGTGACAGTTTACGTAACAGATATGTCATTCTGTACACGGGATAATTTCAATAAGATTTTTTTGACGATACTCAAAGCATTAGCAAGTTGATTAAAAAAGTGCCAAATGGTTTGTCTATTAGTTTCAATTATCAATGAAATTGTTTTTATATCTGTATTATCGTTTCACATAAAAACAAATTGACTAATTTGGTAGGCGGTCTTTCAATCTACTTGGAATACCATGTAGATGGAAAAAAGCCCCGCCTAATTGAATATCGTCAGAAAAATCTTGTTTTCATTATTTCGTGTGCAGCGCGAAATAACTGTTACGTAAATTGTCACTCCTCCTGCACCGCGCAGCTACCTCAGGAACCGACTCAGTTACGCGGTAGGCCTGTAGTTTTCGTTAGACAGGGCATTTAGTGGCAATACACTAAACGCTCAATCTAACGAAAGCGGCCTACTCTGATTGGTCAATTCCAATCAGAGTCGGCCGCTCAAGGACACACTACAATGTCCCGCCCTTGTATTGAACGGGATGCTCAAGTGTACACTGTAAACGCTTTACCAAGACTCCTCAATACAATTAGCAGTACAGCTCCTTGTGAAAAGAGTTCGTCCAGAGTAGTCCTGCCACCTTACTTATTTCTGCCGCCAAGCAGTAATGTCAACGTTACTGTTTTCCGGTTTTGAAGGGTAAAGGTGCTGGTGAAATTACATGCACATGGGTTTTTACCCGATAAATATCTGTCTAAGGATAAATATCCGTTTTTACTGGGTATTTATCCTAAAACATGGATATTTTTTTTTGTTTTTTATAACAAAATTCATTAGAATTATTTTTTTATGAAATAATTACGTTTTTGCCATTCTTTTAAGTAACAAAACTGTTCTGCCTACGATTTTCGAGTGGTATAAAAAATTCGATTGACAGAAAGTTATCAAATTAACTGTAACCCTTTAGCTGATATCCTGCGTTAATAAAGTGCGACCCAACTTTAAGGTCTTGGGTTCTACTGCGTACTAAATAAAGGCATGTTTGGACTTGAAATAGCCTAAGGATTCTCTTTCACATTTCACACACAAAATCTATTAATTAAAACACTTGATATAAAAAATAAATGTTTATAATTGTGTAGGTACACGTGTTTTAAAAATATACTTTATAAAATATAAATATAAATAAATATAAATAATAAACCACAATTAAACATATATTTATCCACGTTTTTGGATAAATATCGAGTAAAAATGGATATTTATCCTGAGTATTTACCCCAATTATTATATTAACTTATGTCTCGGGGTGACGGGCGCAGTGGCAGTGCCCCTCAGATCTTTGCGATTTAAAGCTCTGCTTAGCACTGCAACTGTTATGGACAGCCGTGTAGCTTACCATCAGGCGCACGACTTGTTCGTCCCGACTTGATATTATAAAAAAAAGTCAGTGTGTTCAGTGGCGCAGCGCGTACGGTCCAAGCGACGCTCCGCTGTACGCGCCGCAATTCCGAATTTGCGACCTTTATGTATTATTCACTTAAAGTTTAGGTAATTATTACACCGCCTTTCTGATATAGACTATCGAAATTAAGTTCTAGGATAATGTTACAGATAATCTCAGTACAGAGTACTAAAAAAACCGACCCGAAGTCATTTATCCCCATAGTTTGCCACTCTTACAGGTGGAATATTTACTTCAAATTTAAATGGGACCTCTACTGAGAACCATCAAAATCTGTTCACAAAACGAGTTGTCGCGTAACATATGTAAAAACATACAGTAGATTTGAGAACTTCCTCCTTTTTTAAAGTCGGTTAAAAATCTAGACCAAAAATTAGAAAGTTTCATTTATATCATTACGTAAATGATACAAACGAGAATCAAACCTAATGTCCAAATAACTTACCAGTGTAAATGTAGATGCACATATATCTCGTAAGGAATGTATCATTGTATTGTGCGTCGTTAGGGAAGGTGAGAATGGTTTCGTTGACACGCAATGTTTCTACGCCGACTCTAACGATTGGTGTCTGGTTGCCTAGTAACCGCACGACTTCGTCTTTTACGAAATCTTGTTCCAGGTTCACCCTAAGGGAAAATTTGACAAATATTAATGTAATCTGTGTTAATATAGCATACCAAAATATAGTGGTTGCCATATACATATATAGTGGTTGTTACTTAAAATGTACCCTGCTCTGTAATATATATATATATATATATGTTATGACTGTCCATCGAGTATATAACCATATATACTCGATGTGACTGTCCCATAATGTGGCATTTGATTCGACTGCATATAGGAAAAGTATGTATTTGATAACTCATTAATGTTACTTGATTATTATTTCATCTTATTTTAATTTTATGGTTTAGAGTTTTTATTTTGTCATTTAGATTTTAATATTTAATTTCGATTTAGAAAAATTAAAAGGTAAAACCTTTTAATTTTTTTGATATTTTTATTTTGAATTTTCTAAAGTGATTAACTAATTTTATAATCCAAGAATATGGATCATAGATAACTGAAATAAATGTTTTTTTATTTTATTTTTTTTTACTGCCGAGATGAGTAAAAAAAAGGCTGATTTGTCACTATTTTTAGTTTTCCTACGTCGATAAGATATGAAGCTACTGCAAGAGAAAAGTAGATATTTTTCAATTACCTTTCTTTTAACATTGCTTTCTTGGTTTTGTATTTTTGTCACATGCTCCCTTTCAAGTAATGGCGGCAGCAGTACAAGTCTCCTCTTACTATGGGAAGGCTTGGGCTGTGTGCGAGCCCAATGCGGATTGGGAACTTCAAACACAAATAGCTTTGCAGATGTGTGCAGGTTTCCTCATGATGTTTTCCTTCACCGAGAAGTTCATGGTAAATTTCACATTTAATTTCGAACATAAAATCCGAAACTCAAGAGGTGCAAACCCGGATTCGAACGCACAACTCTTACTTGACAGGTGATGGGTCAAACTATTAGGCTACCACGGCTTATTCCTACTGTATATATGTAATTAAAAAAATAATTTTCAAAATCGGTCCACAATTGATGGAGAAATCGGACAACATACGAAAAACATACATGCAGCTGAACGTATAACCTCCTCCTTTTTTCTTGAAGGTGGTTAAAAATCAACTTACTCGGTTTATCAATGAAGGGAATAATAATATGGTGTCAGATAACAACACCAAATAGTTTGGCCTCAAACTAGAGCAGTCTCTGTACTATGAGTTCCAGAGCAATTAAATTTTTGAACAGCAGTAAAGCTCATTGTGAAAGAGTTCGTCCAGGGAAGTACTGCCACCTTATCTAGTATTGCAGCCAAGCAGCAATGTTGGCATTACTGCGTTCCGGTTTTGAAGGGTAAGGGCGCTGGTGAAATTACAGGCGCATGGGAGTGGTCAATAAGTGGCGCAGTACCAGTGCCCCTCAGATCTCAACGATTTAAAGGTCTGAGTGGCACTGCAACTATTATGGACAGACGTGTAGCTTACCATCAGACACACGACCCGATTTAAAGCCGTATATAGACTTGTATAATTCTTACCAGTATCCAGTCCACCAATCTGACACAGAACCGCAAAGTTGGGCGATGGCCGCGACCATAAACATCATAGCGACGACACAGGCGTTACCGCTGGCGCGCAAGTATGCGGCGTACACCATGCCTGACACGGAACCTTTGGAGCGCATCTCCGCTTCTTCACGCCCGCCTTCGGGAGGAGCAGTCGCCGATAAGTTGTCAACGGAACTCACCTGGTGGTTATCAATAGTTTAAAACTATATTATTTGTCTACATCGAGTTCTTACGATTGCTATATATTGGAAATGAAACTTTTTTTTCAGATTTAAATCGCATATCGACGTTGGAAAGGTAAAACATATAATGTGCGTTTGGAAAATATCACAGGAGAGCGTGTCAAAGTAAAAAAAAAAATATAACTCAAATTTTATTTGTTGTTTGTTTTTTTTAATTACTTTGAATCGCTCGGCAGGTCGCTACATTTGTTTTTATGGACAAAAATTAATCAGCAGTGACCATAGGACCTATAAAGGGCCCGAAACGTCGGTTTGTTTGAAAAAATAAATTTCATTTACCTATTAATTTTTTTATGATAAATGACTTGTTTGCGTAACACGATTAATAATCATATACCACATCACCGGAAAAATCTACTCACCGAATGTATGCTCAACTGTCTCTTCCTGAAACTGGAATGCAATGATGTTTCTTCTGCAGATGGTTCAACAGGAACTCCAGCGTCAGCTGGAGGTTTCTCTTCCTCCGTCTCTTCACGAGCTATCATGGTCGCGATGTCCAACCCCGACGCGCTTAACCGCTCGAAGTCTCCTGCCGCCGCTATTGCGCCGTTCTTCAATATGATGATCTGCAGAGTAGGTGAAAAAGATAACTAACAGGTTCTGTTACATGAACTGGGGGCCAATCGCGCTAATTGTCAAAGGTTTAACCAAAACCTTCAACCTCGCCAATCTGACACGTTGTGTACATTTCGTATCGCGCTAACTGTCAAAACAAAAACCTAAGCCAAAACTTAGACGTGTGACACGTAACGCACATTTGGTATCGCGCTAATTGTCAAAGGTAATACCAAAACCTAAAACGTTGCCAATTGGTATCGCGCTAAATATTTTGACGTTTTAACCTCACATGTAACCTTGGGGGAATAGATTAACCTTCGCAAGGTCAAGGTTTGTGTGGCAGTTAATGGAGAGTAACTTTTCACTACGTTTATCGTATATAAAAGATGTTCCACGGTTACTTAAATGTTTTGGAAAGTGTTTATGAGGTGGATGTGGCCTAAGAACGGGCTTTAAATAAAAGAAAAGCATAAAAAGACGATCACATTTAACATGTCTGAGGAGAAATTCCGCAAACGATATACCATTTCTCCACGGAATTCATTTCAGGATTGGTGGAAGAACTATGCCTACATATTCTCGTTAAAGGACGGTCTGTTGCATTGGATGTGGAGACAAAGGTAAGGGTTAAGTGGAATCCGATAGTTCTCAGTTTTGCATAATAACCAAAATGTCTATGCTGTGTAAATCATTATTAATTTTGTTACAGATTTTAATAGCTCGTATTGTTTTTACGACTGGGGCGTACCTGTGACCCTCATTGGCAAGTGCTTATCACCCTTTCCCAAGCCAGTGTCAGAAAGGCACAAGCGGTAGCTGCTTCAAATAAACCAGTTATTATGAATAAATATGCAGCTTTCCTAAAAGGCATGCCGAAAGAGATGGTATTAAAAGGCGGTGAGAAAATAAGCTTTACAATGTACATCATATTTATTAGTTCTTGTCTTATTTCCTGTTATTATTATAAAATAAAAATGACAGATATAGGTAAAATATGTATAGTTGTATAAAAATATATTACAAGGTTACAATTTATCTCTTTTAACACTTGACTTTATACAACATATCGTCCCCTTACAGTGAAGCCTCACATATGCATTTTCAGTTTGTTTTTACTGATTTTTGTTGAATAAAAATTAATAATGTAATAATATAGTATCTAAAAGAGGTATAATTTAAGTAATTAAAATGCTAACTACACACATTATTGCATTTACTATACTTCACACCATATTTTTATCTTCATCCTAAAAAATTACATAGAAATATGTGGTATTCATTCTAAGATGACGATGTATACCTATTGTAATTGTTTATTATCTTAATATCTAAATTGATGTATACTTTTAAGAGGTTGAAATAAAAAAAAGAGTGTATTTTTAGTTTATTTATTGCCTCAATCTACCCCAAATCATCCTTCATTTCCAGAGCGAGCTTGCTTTTGATTCTTCAAAGAAGTCTGAAACAAAAATATGTATATAGTAAGATTGGAGACCTAAATTTAAGACTGTGCCATACCTCTCATGAGAGTAGTGACAGATAAAGCAGGATGGGTATTTATATACATACAGTATGAAGCCAACATAAACGCCAGAATGTTTAGGGGCCTTTTCAAAATACATTTAAAAAAATGTTTATATCACTGTGGAAATATAAAGGGGACAAAAGTCTACAGATTAGACCTTCGTTCCTTACGCTCTTTCAGATTTCCACAATTGAACATATCATCAGCAGGAATTAAGAAAACATGTTGAAAACAAACCTGTCATTCTTGTTAAATAGTCTATCAAAAAAGGTTAACTGCAGGCACCAACTCGGTAATTGCTTTGCAAATGGCAGCTACGGATTGGGCATGCAGATCATCTGCTTTGGCAGAAATAATAGCTGCCTCAGCCTGCACCCTGCCAGCATTCACTTGCTGCAAGAATGCTTCGCATGCTCGCTGCTCCTCAATGCATAAGAATTCTAACCGGCTCTGCTCCAACGCTCATCAGCTCGCTGTCAACGAAATAATAGATGTGATGGAATAAAGAGTGGGAAAGAATTTGCTCAAATTGAAAGTTACTTTGTTTTTTAATTAATAATAAAGAGTGAGAAAGTTTGTTATGGAATTGTATGTTTGAAGTTATTTAGTTATTTTGTGCCAGAGTTGGTGTCCTTTAGGAAGGTTGGTAGGGCCTCTGCCGCAGTCGATGTGGCGTAGATTCTCACCCTGCTTTTCATACCATTCCATACCTGAATAACAATAATAACATCGCATATTATAGTGATATGAGTTCTGGTACAATAACGGTGAGTGATCCACTCACTGTATCCTATTACCTCGCATTATAGCTCACCTTTTGGGATCTATTGCGGGGCCACAAAATAGCCACACACTCGCACCAAAGGCGTGCTGATAACACGCGCGAACAACGCCGAGCGAAGTCATTCTCAAGCCAAATCTCTAAGCGATTCGAACTCCAGCAAAGATGGAGCTGGCTTACAGTGGTCGCTCGCCGTCCGACCGCATCCACACTGGCTGAAATACGAGCATCATTATTAATTCTACATTGCTAACATTTCGAAATTAATAGTAGTTAGCGTACCTATTTGATTGTATAAAAAGATACTATTTTATTAAATAGAATATTAAAAAAGGAAAACAATGTGTAGGTACTTGCCTCTGCGTGTTTTATCTACCACAACAACACACTAAATTCAATTAATTTGGTTCAAATCACAACACATTATGTTTGTTTACAATAGAATTTAATGACATTTCTTTTACACACTTTTTTAAATCGCTCTTTTATAGACTTGAATTCGTAGATATTGACATTTCAGTGCGTTTTACGGTAAAATTTAGTCGGTTTTAGGAAGTCAAGGCACGTCTCTTAAAATTTAATACGAGGTTATAGTTTGAGGTTAATTTGAGGTTTAGGTTCATTAAAACTGATAGCGCGATTGCATTTTGTGCGTCGGTAGAACCATTAATTAACCAAAACCATAACCTCAAATGTTGTAAGGTTAAACCTTGCGAAAATAGCGCGATTGGCCCCCTGACCTCAGTAGCAGCAGAGTTCCTTATGAAAGAGTTCGTCCAGGGAAGTACTGCCACCTCACAAACAGTAATGTGAACATTACTGCGTTCCGGTTGGGAAGGGTAAGGGTGCTAGTGAATTAGAGGGACATGGAACTTGTCAACTTATGTCTCAAAGTGTCGGGCGTAGTGGCAGTGCAAATCTTCGTAATTTAAAGCTCCGAGTGGTACTGCAACTGTTATGGACAGGCGTGTCGCTTACCACCAGGCGCACGACTTGTTCGTCCCGTCACTTAGTATTATTATATTAAAAAATACCTGATCAACGTCCCTAAGAAACTGCAGCTGATGCGTGACGAGAATGCGCGTAGTATTGCGCAGGTAACCGACTATACAAGACTCGAAAAGATGTCTTGCAACGTGTGCGTCCACGGCAGATAGAGGGTCGTCCATGAGGTAGATATCTGCACGCTTGTATACCGCTCGCGCCAGGGAAATGCGAGCTCTTTGGCCTAATGATAAATGTGGGAAATTAATAGAATTTTTAAGGATCAGTTTTCTTGATAACTATTTTTTTTTGTTGTTGTAAGGGATTTATAAGATATTTATAGATTACGAGATTCTTCAAATATGATTTTTGGGACATTTGGTCGAGGCTAGCATACTGCCATTCTAATTGTGCAGCAGCAATTATGCAATACTTTCTAAACAACAAGTTTATTAACATAAATATATCTAAGCAACATGTTTATGTTAATAAATATAAATTATTTTCTCAAACATGTTCGGAAATGTTTGCATTACTTACAAAAAACAAACACTGGAAGTTAGTCATTTAAGGACCGTGAGACTTCTTCCCGGCCAAGTAAGTATGAAATTGTTTGCAAAAGTTGTCTGTAAACTTTTAAATCTACCTACTAAATAATGAACTATGTAAACAGGCAAAGGAATAACTCATACAGCCAACTGCGTAGTATTAGTAATTGCGAGAATTAAAAAACCTAATTACACCGCTCATTTTAAGACGAAAAAGGCGGTAAAATAAACTAAAGTGTTTTGGTACTCTTTTCTGTATTTTCGTCGTGAAAATGATAAAATGAGCAAAGTTTCCCGTTGGTCAGATTGATGGTTAGAGTGAGACGAGCAATAACGAAAATACAGTAATGATTGTACTCCACCTAATTTAAAACAAGCGGCAATATTAGCCATGTAAAACTTGTTGCCGGCTATGAGCAAAATAAGTTACATGAAAACATAGGAAACTTTCATGCAATGAAGAAGAGAAAAAAATGCTAATTCGTTTTCGGAGACTGTGTTTGTATTGATATATATATATAT